ACAAAACCAAATCTGAAATAAACGAGTCCAGTGTTTCATGTATCCTTCATTTTTAAGGGTTGGTGATGCGAAGAGGGATTCCTTGTCGAGGAAGCGGGTGGTGGGGGTTCTACTACATCCAACCCCCAATCTCCACCCTCAATTTCTCCCCTTGTACTCCACCGACCGGGCCATCACAGTGGTAGCGCCTGATTTCTTCTGACGGATCACGAATATAAGCGCTAATCACGTTTTCTGGTTAATCCATCAACAGACTTTCTCATTTTGATAGATTATGCCGATTACGGCACATTGTCAATATATTAAATATGTTAGCGGTGATGGGGTCAGCCATTGTTGGTGGTGGTGGGGGGGATGAAGTGTTGTTTGGAAAACTGTGTCGATCAAAGTAAATATTTTGACCACAATCGGATTTTTGTCAGATTCTTTTTTGTTTCTTGTTAGACGTTTCTGAAATCTTTGTTTGTTTTTTTTTGGGGGGGAGGGATTTTTTTCCCCCAAGAATGAAATACTTTTGAAATAATTTGCTGTCGAAATAAACAGGGCGTGATTAATTGTAGAAAAGGTTTTAGAATCCATCTCTGTAAGAGTACATGAAAAATTATTAGTTTGCAAAGAAGGATTTCCTTCAAGGACGACAGCGAAGTGATTTATTACAGAATTCATAAAATCAGGTACAAATCATTTTTTTTGTTGTTTTATGTCGGAATTTTTTTTGATGAGGAATTAACATCATTATACGCCTTGGATTGAGAAATCGGGGAGCCGAGTTCGAATTCCAGTCGAATCCATTTACTTACGTTGGGAAAGGTATGAATCCTGTTCTTCTCCCACCAGCTTTGGGTAAATAGCAGGACAGACCGGGTTCTGTAGCTTTGGATGGCAACTTGTCTACCACGGAAAGAAATAGCAACCTATTGCCGAAAAAAATCTGCCTCGTCAGTCATGTATCGAAAGATGCATGATCGCTTAAGCGTACATCACGCATGGCACATAACTGACTGACTGACGTACTAATAACCTTGGGAAAGTTATGAATACTCTTCTTCTTCCCTATAGCAGGATAGACCGGGTTCTATAGCTTTGGATGGCAACTGTTCTACCGCAGAAAGAAATGGCAACCTACTGCGGTAAAAAAAAAATCTGCCTGGTAAGTTATGTATCGAAAGATACATGATCGCCTAAGTGTGTATCACACATGGCACATAATTGACTGATCTGGACATGTATTCACTACATGGTTGTTATACTTGCGATATTTCGACTGTTATTCTCACTAGGCTTACTACCATATTGTTTTGAAAGTTAAGCAATGTCGAGCCTAGGCAGTACCTTTGTTGTGGGCCGTGTGTACGCGCTGTGGGATAAACACGTGTGTCTCCTGAAATGCCCACAACAAACATGGCAGACTCGGAATATTTGTCCACCTAAAAATAATGTAAAGAAATAATAAGTACCTATATATTTGTGTGTGTGTGTTAATAAGTATTAACAAACAATAATGTGTGTGTGTGTGTGTGTGTGTGTGTGTGTGTGTGTGTGTGTGTGTGTGTGTGTGTGTGTGTGTGTGTGTGTGTGTGTGTGCGTGTCCATGCGTGTGTGTGTGATCCTTGTGTGTGTGTGTGCGGTCAAGGCACGTCAGCGTAAATGACGGTTCCGTGTGTGTGTGTGTGTGTGTGTGTGCGTGTGTGTGTGTGTGTGTGTGTGTGTGTTGTGCGTGTGTGTGTGCGTGCGTGTGTGTGTGTGCGTGCGTGTGCGTGTGCGTGCGTGTGCGTGTGCGTGCGTGTGTGTGTGTGTGTGTGCGTGTGTGTGTGTGTGTGTGTGTGTGTGTGTGTGTGTGTGTGTGTGCGTGTGTGCGTGTGTGTGTGTGTGTGTGTGTGTGTGTGTGTGTGTGTGTGTGCGTGTGTGTGTGTGTGTGCGTGCGTGTGTGTATAGGATACAGGTTCGAATCCTGTCAAAGGACGAATATTTTCTATGAAAATTTCTCGGACATTCAGGCAAGTAAATGTTATTTAATACTGTTTATTATAAACAGAGCATTTACTTAAATACTTGTATCTATAAAAAGAACGTTAAACATAAACATGTCTTTAATAAATATATATATATATAAAAAGGTGAATATTCGAATATTTAACGTGATAACTCGACTGGAACATTCATGCAGTTAATGCAATCTTCAGGTTTGGAGATTCTGACCGTTATTTATCGCGTTCTCTTGTCTATTAAAAAAAATTAACTATTAAAAATTTATATCGTTCAAATTCAAAAATTACAAAGTCGAAGAGTTAAAAAATAATATACAATAAAAAAATATTTAAATTACATACGTGCAAGAATTTGTGTATGTATTTAGATAGATAGATTTTTCTTAACAGTATATTAAAAGGTAACAACCACTCAGTCATGAGATAGATAGATAGATAGATATGGAGAAGTTTAGATAGATAGATAGATAGATAGATAGATAGATAGATAGATAGATGAAAAACAGAAACAGCTATTTTTCAGATTATCTTATTAAGGAAGTATATATGTCCTAGCCAGACTTTATTGACAGGCTTAATCCGCTGAAATACGATAATCCAGATTTGTGTGACTATAAGATAAAGGTCAATAAAAAAGAACTTATTTACTAATACTTTCGAGCGATGAAAAATTTGGCCAGCCGTGTACAGATAAATATGTTCTTTGCGCGCATCAGTAGACTTACCTGGACACACGCATTTGCACGTGTCTGTTCCTATAGAAATGTACTAGGCGTAGATTAGATATAGCACAAGGACGAATGTGGGGAGCGCCCTGTGAGGATCGAACTCACTACTCAGTCAAGGTTGAACTGGCGAAAGAAGCTTGCTAACCATTACGCAACGTCGAAGTGCCTCAAACATGGATGCAATATATAATCTTTATCTTCACAGACATATCTCTTACTGGTTCTCGAATCAAATTAAAATCTACATGCGCCCGCCATTAGAGTATCTTCAAGAGGCTTTTGCGGCCATAATGCAACTTGGCAACCATATCAGAAGTGACATTACTGCGAATACGTGAACAGATAATCTCTCGTGGAGTTACTCGGTCGACAGTAAATCTTCATTGAGCCAGCTTCGGCATTGAATGACAGCTGCATTCAAGCTGCGTTTTACTTAAAATGTTGACATCCCCCTGCGGAAACTATCAAAGAAAATAACCTATAGATGCCAACCGTCATTAGTCGATTGTGAATTACTAGGTTATAGGTAATTAATTAATGCAAAAGGACGCTTCAAAGATTAGTTGAAAACATCCCTTACACCAGCGGTATGCAAGCCTTGGCACACGTGCCGAACAATGGTACACTGATGAGTCGTTTCTGGCACGCGAAATTTATTCATTAGATTCTCTTTTTGAGTTTTATTCTTTCTCTTTTTTCATGTATATCATTATCTTATGCATTTTAATTTTCTGCCCTTTATAGATTGTGCAAAATATCACGATCATCAATTAAGAAACGATGTCATTCAAATGAAGAGGATATTAAAGAATTTAAAGAATACAGAACTGGAAAATGTGGTATGATTAATAAAGAAATATACAGTGGAACCTCGGTTCACGAATTTAATTTGTTCCTGAAGGCCGTTCGTAACCCGAAATGTTCGTAAACCGAAACTATTTTTCCAATAGGAATCAATGTAGAGAAAAAAAGTCACAGTACAATAAAATTGGAAAAGAAAAGCATGGCATAACACACGAATGTATACAACACGGCGGTCGACTAAGAAATGATCCCGTTCGGGTTTTAAATCGATTCGGCAATGTTGTTCGAGAACCGAAATCTTGTTCGATAACCGAGGGATTTTCATCTCGAATTTTCTGTTCAAAAACCGATTTGTTCGACATGTGAGGCGTTCGAGAAGCGAAGTTGCACTGTATATATATATATATATATATATATAAAGTATAGAAAATTAGGAAATCAGCCGATTTCCTATGCTTAAAAATTCTATATGTTAAATTTTTATCTTCTTATATGCGTATTGAGTACTTTTTAATATTACTGTTTCCTGGTCTAATTCAACTTTGACCATTAACTTCTTTATTGCCATCATTTGGTGTTGACCTCAGTGCCCAATTTCATAATACGCTCTCTTTCTGATATTGAGGGCTTTTTATTCATAAATATAGAATATCTTAAGACTATTTTATCATATATATATATATATATGTGTGTGTGTGTGTGTGTGTGTGTGTGTGTGTGTGTGTGTGTGTGTGTGTATATATATATATATATATATATATATATATATATGCACACACACATATATATATATATATATATATATATATTATAATTATTTTTTAAAAAATACCATCCCTTTGCTACATAAGAGTTCTCATGTTTCAAAAACAAGAGCCAAAAACCTCAATATAATTATTAAAATTAAATTGAGCTAAAGTATTAAGCCCGGTTTCATTCTCAAGCAACAATTTAGGAATCCCTAAGACAAAAAAAAAAAAAAAAAAAAACTGGCTGATACGTTTATGAACTTTATTTCGGGTAGGCCCCGTTCCAACTTAGTTGCTCTGTCAGTTTTGAAGTTTGAAAAATTTTTGTTGGCACGTGGAAAAGTTTTGTGTCAGAGATTTGTCCGGTTTTGGCACGCACTCTGAAAAATGTTGACCACCCCTTCCTTACACAAGCCATCATCGACCTTGAAAGCTGAGAAACCGTTGCTACAAATCGGCCTTCTTGGCCGCGTAGTATTTATAATTTCTTAGTTGCGTCTCTGTCTTCGGGCAGAGTGCGACTCAGTTGCATCTCTGTCTTCGGGCAGAGTGCAACTCAGTTACGTCTCTGTCTTCGGGCAGAGTGGGACTCACTTGCGTCTCTGTCTTCGAGCAGAGTGGGACTCAGTTGCATCTCTGTCTTCGGGCAGAGTGCGACTCAGTTACGTCTCTGTCTTCGGACAGAGTGCGACTCAGTTGCAGCTCACGTCAGAGAACAGAGGCGCAAATGAGAAAAATCTCACTGTGGGGTGCGCATCCCTGCGTAGCGGATACCCGAGGCTGCACCCTCTCATTGCACCAGAGAGAGCGATCGGTGCTCACACCAAAGCCAGCGCAAACGATCGTTGCGGGGGCTCGGGAAATTTTTGTCCTTAGCCCGAGTGTAGTCGCACGGGTTCCCCATATTAAACCGACCTTGTGTCATAACTTGACTCCGTGGGAGGGGTCAAGTAAATACCTTCCTGGTGTAGGACCATCCGACGGGGTGGTGAGACTTTCTGGCGTAGGACCATCCGAGGCGATAGGTGACAGGGTGAGTTTCCAACCCTGAACATGAAAAGGACGTTGCCAGGAGGATCCGCCTCGCCCAGGCGCCCCCACCATCCTCACTACTCTGTGACTCCTGCTCACGACTCTTCAAGATTGGGCTGGGCCTTCATCTCCGCCACCAGAGGGGTGAAAAGGAAAAAAAAAAAAGAGAGAATGCCGATCCCAATGTTCGAATGTGAACGGGTGCCGACGACGAATGCAATATGATTAATATATAATGAAATAAAATCGGCTTTAATCTTCCAAGTAAAACCTACAATAATTACCATACAACAAAAAGCAAATTTTACCTACATGATAGATACCTTTGATGAGTTTTTCATTGCTACGGATAAGATAAGACGTTCTAAAAAAGTCTTTTTTTCTATCGCAATATTTTATTCTGAAACGTTATATGTAAAAAAAAAAAAAAGAAAATCTGTAAAAAGGCCGGACGGGACAACTGCCGAAATGCAGTGATAATAACAGCAAAACTGAGGCCAACATTCCGTACATAAATAATGTTGATAAGGATAACTCAACATCCGGGAAATTTAGGCAGAAAATATGGCACCAAGTTGTGCAAACATCCACTAGCTGACTCAGTATCATAATAAATTTGCAAATATTCCGTTGAATATCTATTTCATTTTTTATTATCATAATTTGTACTCAATTATCTGGCGGACCCTTTATAGCTCACATAGGGGGAAAGTTGCATCTCATCTATCATAAAATGGGTTTAGCAAATATTTTTTGACATGACTGGTATATATCGTTCACTATCAACATCTACTATGAAACGTGTCCACAGTGGATGAGGAGAGTATACTGTATGTAATATTTTAAAGTGGATACTGTATGTAATATTTTAAAGCTATTGCAATGTAATATATAGTGAATGCTTCCCTAACAACCATGAATCTTCTGTCATGATGTTCAATTCATTTATGGTGATTTTTCTCTTTTTGCAGAAATGATTCGCCGATTTGACCTTTTCACTGAGAGTGAAAAATATCAAAATATGATATAAAAAAAATTCTTCATTAAGTTTTTAATGCTTTAATTTTCATGCAATAATATATACGCTACAGTTCAAAAGTTTGAAGAGAACCCCAGAGTTTGCAAGGGATGAACTTGACTGAAGACTGAAAAAAAAAAAGCTCTTAGAGTCATTGAAAAAATAATAAAAATCAATTATCAAACATACTTTGAGAAACTTTTTAACCGAATGCCCAAAATTTACACTGCAGTAATCTAGGCTAAAGGAGGACATTTTGACAAGAGGAAAATTTAATCATAAAAATGGTGTTTTTTTATTCTTTTTGTCATAATAAAATGTCTAATAAAATATCATGTATCACTTTTTTAACCATGTATAATAGCTTTCACTTATTTAAAATACAAAACTACTTTTGAGGCCAATTTAAAAATTATCAGGGGCATCCTGAAACTTTTGAAGTATAGTATATATATATATATATATATATATATACACACACTACTATATATATATATATAGTATAGTAGTAGTATGTGATAATATATATATATATATATATATATATATATATATATATATATATATATAGTCATCACCATTTGCCTTATAAGTCTAATTTAGAAATGATGTCCAAGACCAACCACAGAGTTATGCACATATCACCCAGCAGAGCCTCAGTTCTGGAGGTGGGTACTCAAGGTCGAGTCGATTGTTGAGTTGAATGAGAATTTCCCAGCAAAGCATTTAACCTTATCTGCTGTAGATGTTAGGACTTCGAATTGATTGAATAGAGGAGGGATTGAGGATTTTCTGTTGTTCAGCGCACTGTTGCAGAGCCGCCAGTAATCTCTAGAACTTGCGAGATGTTCTACGTTGTTTAATTCTAACAGTAACTTTGTTGCACACGTTACGATCAGAGACAAAGAGACCTGTTGCAATCAAACGTTTCGATTTGGTACAGCCGGAAGAAGTGATTCCTGTAGGCTAAAGTGGTTGAGCATGCAGGTGAGAATCAAGGAGATGAACACAGTTTAACTTGGTATTTCTTTGCTGGAATGAAAGCATCAATGCCGGATATCTCCCCCGAGGAGACCTGGGACGGACATTGTATGTGTATGTGTATGCCAAATAGTTTAAACAAATACGAAATATCTTCGACAATTATTCGATAGTGTTATGATGTTGATTTGGGGTTAGTA